GAGCGGCGGCGGCGGGCGCAGCGCGGCGGAGCGGAGGTGCTGCCTCTCCCCGCACGGCAACCGGCGGCGCGGAGGGGAGGCGGGGGGAGGGAGCCGCCGCGGAGCCTTCCGCGCCTGCAGCCAACTTCTCGCCTTGCCGCCGGTGCTCCCCGGTGCCCGTTCGCTTCGCGCTGGGAACTTGCGGTGTTTGCTGAAATTTTGGATTATGTTCCTGCTGAGCCGGTCTGCGGGGAGCTGAGCCAGGGGAGGAAGAATGCGGGTCTATTTAATGATCTTCTGTCTTATTTGCTGCACCGCGAACGGGCAAGTAGTGTATTCCATTGCCGAGGAAACAGAGCGTGGAGCATCTGTTGGGAACATCGCAAAGGATCTAGGAATAGATGCAGCTACACTTTCAGCTCGGAAATTTCGCATGATCACCGGTTCAAGTAAGCAATATTTTAATATAAATGCAAGCACGGGGGCTTTGTCTGTTAACGAGCCCATAGACAGAGAGCAGCTTTGTGAATTAAAGTCTGTCTGTCTTCTGAATTATGAACTTGTGTTAGAAAACCCTCTAGAGCTTTATAGGATGGAATTTAAAGTCTTGGACATAAATGACAACTCCCCCAGCTTTCCCTTAAGTGAATATCATATAAACGTGCCTGAGTTCCTGTCACCCGGGGCACGGTTTACACTCCCCAACGCCCAAGATCTTGATGAAGGTACCAACAGTGTCCAGAATTATACTCTGAGTCCTGATGAGCATTTCCATTTGGAAATGCAGACACGCGGGGACGGGAGTAAATATCCTGAATTGGTGCTGAAGAAAGCCTTAGACAGGGAGCAGCAAGCCACTCACAGACTTGTCCTTACAGCCAAAGATGGTGGGGATCCTCCAATGTCCAGTGATGTTCCAGTCATTGTGACTGTGTTGGATACCAATGACAATGCACCAGAATTTGAGCACTCAGTCTACAGGGCGAGTATATTGGAAAACTCCCCCAGTGGCACTTTGGTAGTGCAAGTGCATGCCACAGACTTGGATGAAGGTCCAAATGGAGAGATCAGGTATTCATTTAGCAATACTACTTCTGCTGATCTACAGCAAATGTTCTTTATTCACCCGCACACTGGGGAGGTGACAGTCAATGGCGTTTTAGCTGTTCAGAGACCTCTCCTCGAGATGCTTATTGAGGCAAGGGATAACGGGGCATTTGGCATGTCCAGCACAGCTAAGCTCCTGGTGGAAATCACTGATGTGAACAATCATGGCCCAGAGATAACAATTACATCCCTTTCCAGTCCCATTCCTGAGGATGCTGTTCCTGGCACAGTGATAGCTCTGCTGAGTATTTTGGATAAGGACCCTGGGGAGAACGGGAAAGTAACCTGCCAGATCCCTGATAACCTTCCCTTCCAGTTAAAACCTTCCCTTGAAAACTACTACAGCCTGGTCACCAGCGGACTTTTGGACCGAGAGCTGATCAGTGGGTACAACATCACCATTACTGCCACAGACTTGGGCTCTCCACCCATCACCACTCAGAAGACCCTTTGGGTGCAGATTTCTGATGTGAATGATAACCCCCCTGTCTTCAGTGCTGACACATGTGATGTGTTTGTGGAGGAGAACAATCCACTTGGTGCTTTTCTCTACCAGGTCTCAGCCTCTGACCCTGATATGGGGGAGAATGGACGGGTCTCTTACATGCTCAGGAATTCCACAGTTGCAGGCAGTACCCTGGCCAGCTTTTTGTCTGTGAGCTTGGCCAACGGGAGCATCTATGCAAAACGTGCCTTTGACTTTGAGCAGCTTAGGAGCTTCTATTTCCAAGTGGAAGCCAAGGACAATGGGTCACCAGCCTTGAGTGCTGCCATAACTGTGAATGTTTACATCTCAGACCAGAATGACAATGCCCCAGCCATCCTGTATCCCACCAGCCAGAATGGCTCAGTAGCTGTGGAAGTTGTGCCCCGCCTGGCTGATGAGGACTACCTAGTGACGAAAGTGGTGGCAGATGATGAGGACAATGCGCAGAATGCCTGGCTTTCCTATCACCTTGCCCACTCCTCCGACTCTACCCTGTTCCGCTTGGCACCACATTCTGGTGAGCTGCGCACCACGCGCTCCATGCGCTCCACTGACTTCCTCAAGCACAAGGTGGTTGTGGTGGTGCGGGACCATGGGGATCCGCCGCTCTCGTCTACTGTGACAGTGGGCATCCTGCTGGCTGACACCCTGCCCCAGGCACTACCGGACTTTGATGACAGCAGGGAGCCACCACCACTGCTCAATGCTACAAACATCTACTTGATTGTTTCCCTTGCCTGTGTCTCCTGTATCTTTGCAGTGTTCCTCCTCTTTCTTGCCATTCTGCGTCTGTGCCACTGCCAGACTTGCTGCTGCAGTGGCTGCTGCTGCCCAGCTGATGAGTATGAAAAGTATTGCTATAGCGTGCACATGCTTCCCAGCTCCCACCTCCCGCCAGACATGCTGGAGGTCACTGGTGTGGGTAAACTGACGCATACCTACTTGTACAGGGCATCTGTAGGTCTTGGGCCTAGTAACAGCAGCATCCCAAACGGTGATGCTGGGAACATTCCCAGTGGTTCAAGGTTGCAAGTGCCAGGACCCTGCATCCAAGTGCAGCAGGTCCAAAGTGATCGGTTGAGTGCTGTCCTCATGGTAAGTACTTCTTCCTTTCACTTTTTTTCTTTGAGGCACATGGCCTTGCATCTACGCTGGGTTGCTGTCAGTGCGGAAGAAGGTACTGAGGGTATTTGCAGGAGAGCAGGCATCAGACCTTCATGGCACCTGGAGGAAACTTGAGTTCCTTTTATATCTTTCTGAAAGCCAGGATCTCTTTGGGTGAAATATGGTCATGGGATGAAAAAAGAGATTTTTTTTTTTTTTTTTTTCCCACAAACACTTAGGACCTTCAGACATAACTGAAGGTAAAGAAAATGTAAGTGAAAACTAAATACCTTGCAGGCTGAGCCATTGTCTTCAGATAGCTAAGTAGGGGCATGATAAGAGGCCATGCAAGTTTCTAATCAATGGATGGTTCTAATCTACTTTGTAAGTAGCCTGTGATTTTTTTTTTTGTTTATTATTTTTTAACACCCCCCTTCCCCCCCCATTCCTGAGTTTTTTTCATTGAAGGGTAAGTATTTTACTGAACCAAGATGCTGGTTTACAATGCCCAAGGTAAGTCCGTGGTGGAATAACAGGAATTCAATATCCAGCACCTCTGTAGGAAATGTAGTTTGTAGTGCTCATCTCTCTTTCTAAGCAATCCACAGTGTAGGGCTGCAATGTGGGATATGTCTGCAGGTCTGATCTGTTGGGTGTTGCAGTCACTTGTCCAAGATACAGTTTTCTTATATGGAAAACAATGCTGGTTATATTTTTAATAGGTGCTGTGAGTCGTCTTTCTATTTTTGTGAAGTTTTGAGATGTTTTGCGTGCAGTCTGTCAAATTTCCCTAGTGTGCGTAACAGTAACTAACCACTGTTGGTTCTGCCCAGGCCAGTACTCTGTCATAAGAGCTATTCCAGATGTTTCTAAGGAAAATGTAAGAACCCATGTTAGACAGACATGGTATAATCTGCTTCCTGCAGTTGTTTTTATCCTAGTTTACAATTATTAAAGGTTGTCCTAAGTCTGTAATGATTATGTTTATTTTCATTTTTTAAATCATTATTGTACCTTTAAATACATGTAAATAGCCAGCCCCTTTTTGAACCTTGATATAAGGGTAGCCTCAGCAAATTCTTTGGATAATCAAATACATATTTAACTATAGAGCACCTCCTTTTATAACTCTTGAGTTTCCAAGTAGTGATTTTTAGCAAGTTTTCCCTTGTTCTAGAAAAGATTCCTGATTTGCTCTTAATTATGCGATTAGTTTATCATGCCTTCTCTTATTTATCTGTTGGCAAGGTGAAATAGGTTTGTGGGTTGTAGTTTTTTTATCCACGCTCTCACTGTTTTCTGAACACCTTGTCCACATAAATCCTCCTGACAAGGAAAGATCTTTTCTCATATATGTCATTTGATTTACTCATGATGGTTTACCTAGTATTTAATCAAAGTTATAATCAGTTTTAAGTCCTGTTCTCTGTAGTGGCAGTGGGTTGCACCTGTTAGGGGTTTCTCACTATGAAAAGCTGGGGGTGTGGAATAAATGTTGCAAAAGCAGAAGCATCAGTGTCTTTCAGCAAGAAATTGTAGAGTCCAGGAAAATAGCAGTTGGTAGTATGTAAGCAAGAATTTGTGCCTAATACATTGGTGTTCTTTGGGATATCACTGATTATTTTGAGAATCCAAAAAAAAAGGCTGAGTTAGGACCTTTGTAATGGGGAGCTAAAAACCTTTTTGTCAATCTCTTAACTCTCAGAAGGTGTCTGCAAGAACCCCGACAGTGTCTTGGGGGCATGTGTATCCTTGGCTTCAGAGTAGGTCAATATTGCAAAACTTCTATAACAAAGGTGATACAAAAAAACCCTCTGGTGCAACTAATTTCTGTGTTCTTCTTGAGCAAGATCTTGAAACTCAGGTTACCAACACATTAATGAACTAAACAATAATAAAAATGCAAAAATATCCCTGATCTTTGTAATGAGAGCAACCAAAATGTATCTCATTACATCTCGCTATATTCAGTCATTCAGGTGAATTTTTAAACTTGTAATATGAGACACCTTTTTAGGAGCTTTTGCGAGTGGGCAAAATAAATCCGAGATGTCACCTTTGGCAGTTTTATTTTCTTGGCTCCTAATATGCAGATATGGGTAACTGTAGATGTGACCTACATGAGAAGTCCAAAGGCTGTACATTAATTGGGCTGAGTAGGGGAGCAGAGACAAGGACTGTGAAAACTTATCTATCCTTAGAAACAGAAGGATGTCAGTTGTTATTAATTTGGTGCTGATGATTTCAGTGGCTAGTGTACTGGAGAATCAACTACATATGTATACACACATATATGTGTATATATACAATTTACGTATTTCTTGCAAAATTTGCAAGTTACTAAAATGGCATTCATATTCAAATGATCAGGAGCAGGCAGAAGCTGCAGTCTCTGTACTTTCATGTCTGTACATGCTTTAGACTCACCAAGATTTAAAATAAAGTATATTTATGTTAGACATGCTTGGAAAATAGTTTCCATTCATCTGAGGTATCATGTGTTCTTGAAAATTATTCCTAAGTCCAGACCCCTGTGGACTTCAGTATGATTTCTATGCAGAAAGATCACAATGATTTTATTAGTGAGGAATATTTTTACTCATTTTATATTAAAGTGAGAGGATTATAATTTTTTCAGTGTTTACCAATAGAAATTTCAGTAAAAAATGAAATTTGAAGTTTGGGTGTTGACTAAATTTTGTCTAAGTGCTTTCAGACTGACTCATTTGGAGGTAAAAATATAAGCATAAGTGACCCTTTGAACTTCTGAGGAGGCATCATTGTATTTCTCCATAAGAATATAAATGTAACAAAAAGAAAACATTAAATATTTAAAAGGTACTGGGAGGAACTCCATTGTTATAGTTCAAGACACTGGAAATTACTCCAGAATTACAATTTTAGCAGAACTTAAATATCCCTGTTTGGTTGGTTTTTTTTTTTTTAATCTGAGGTGGATATTACAGTTTTTAGTACGTGGAAGATAGAAAAAGTCTACATATATCAAAAGTTAATTGAAATTCCAGAAATTATAAGTATTTTCAAAATTTAACTTCTTTATTCTTGGTCTTCATTTGCTACTGAATTAAATGATAGGCTTGAATGATTTTTATATATGCAGATGCATGAGACCATTTTATGCTTCTACATGTTCTATTTAGGTTAGAGCTAAAAATAGAACTATGTATGGCCATAATAGCAGTATAGTAAACTGTAATTGTATCTCTTTCAGTATTTTGCTGTGTCTTTCTGCAATGTAGCATAAGTGACAGCTAAGTGAAAAGCATGTTACACTGCTATGCTACTGTGCTGTATGAGAGACAAAGGCAGTAGTGGGATTACTGAAGTCAGCAGTAGTTCACTGAGTATTTCTGGGATCGTGATGTGGCCATGGATTGTTACGGTTCTTTTGCTTGCTTGTGTTGTCCATTGTGCTACGCAAAAGGCCTGTGAGATATTTCTACATTTAGGGTATAGCGAACTCTGTGATTTGACATTCAATATTTAGGTTATGTCCAAAAATAGACACAAGCCTAGCAAGGGAGAATATTTCTTGCTAAATTCTAATAGGAGTGGAATAATTTTGTGCAACGTGGCATGCATTCCCAGTGACAAAAATGGATGCACTTACATTGAAACAGTGGCATGCAATCTAGGCTGAACTGCCGCAGGCTAAGCATCAGCAGCTTACTCACACAAGTAAAGACCAGCCATGTGAGTAAGCCCTCCCTGCATCTTGTTCTGATGGGAGCACACCCCATAACAAAGCTAAACATAAGGGTGAAACACCTTCCTAATTTTTTTCTGTCCATGCTGATAATAACCTGCCCAGAACCAGCAGTCATATGCCCACATTGTAAGAATTCAGTTGTGTAGGCAGATTTCTTGGCTACAGAAGTTGCTCTTGGGGTCAGGCCAAGAAAATCTTAGAGTGATCATCAAAGAAAATTCAGCAAGGGAAACTGCTGTAGATTTCCCTCTTTCTGACCACTCCAATTACCTTTTGCAAGGAAGGATGCAGCTCCAATGTTCAACAAAAGAACACTATGTCCAGGAAAGGCTACAAATGCCTGGGCTGAAACTTTCTTTGTCTGGTGTCTGCCTTGGAGTATTATTTTTAGAGGTAGTGGAAGGGAAAGTGACAGAAGGAGTAGCTTGAGACAAAGGGCTTGAGGGGATGTAGAGGGTAATGTGACTGTATTTGGAGATGTGTAAGGCAAAGGCAATGATCAGTGGATTGGATGGTGGCCTGGGTTGAGGGAGGGTAGATGCAAGTAGTAATTCTTGTATGAAAGTATAGAACAAGAAAACAGTTTGGATCAAGTCCAGTCCTTTCCTATATCAGCCACCATTTAATCTTAAATCTTCAAATTCAAAGATTTAAATTTTAATTGTAAAAATACTCATTTTAATTGTAGAATTCACTAGGTTGTGTCCATTATTCCTATTATAAAGTTATTCCTCTAAAGCTTTAAAACCCTCTTCTGACATCGTGTCAACAGTTAGTTGCCATGATTTTATAGACATTTGTTCTTGTGCCAGCAATGGCAATGTCCTTTTAGTATAAGTAGTTCTCTTCCCTCTTTGGGCCTTGCTTTCTTCATAGTTTAGAGAGCAACCACATCTTTTCTTAGGCTTTGTTTGATTAAGCTAAACAAGTCAATCTCTTTCAATCTTTTTTCTACCGTCACCTCTGTGCTTGTCTGATCGTGCTAATATCCCTTCTCTGCATCTGTTCTTCCTTTGTGGATATATATTGCAAATATGTGACCAGAATTATCATATAATATTTCAGACAAAGGGCTTCCTACACAGTGGTAGGAATACTTCCTGGTTCGGGGGATAGGGAATACATCACCTCATACTTCTTGGGATGGCAGTTACCTTCTCCATAGTTGTAATGTGTTGATTGATCAGTCATGTAAGTATTATTGCAGAACTTCTTTGTGGTAGAGATGGGTGGGGGAAGGTTGGTTCCCCAGATAGTGGTG